CGAAGCGGGCAGAAAGCTGAGGGCGATGGCAAGGAAAGCCGGTGCAAGTGAGCAATGGTTCTGTGTTTCCAGACGCGTACTACTCACCATTGAATGCAAGCCAAAAAGATATCGTCGTTAGATGGTAGGAACTGCGACATGGAGGGTTTACGCCGGGGTAGGAGCAGCGAACGACCTATATCCACAATTCGCATCAGTTACCCCGCGGGACTTTCGTGCAAAGACTGCGATACTCACGGGCTACGCTTCCAAGCAGCAGAGGGCTCTCCGCGCTTCCAAACAGCAGAGGGTTCACCCCGCTTCCACACCGCAGAGGGCTCTCCACGCTTCGCAACCTGCGACGGCTCGCCACGCTTCCACACGCCGGAGGGCTCGCCACGCTTCGCGAACCTGGCCGGGGTCGAGCCGTCGCGACGCTTCATCTCGAACTGCTTGAGGGAGCGTTTCGCGGCCTGGCGTTCATTGACGACGCGCACGGGGGTAGCGCCGGCGACGTCGATGAGGAGCGCGCAGAAGAGCGCGAGGAGGACGAACAACAGGCGAGTCTGCATCTTCTCGGTTGAGGGCGGTCGTTGGTCGGCGGACGTTCAGTCTGAGGGGGCAGACTTGGGGAACGGGCGACAGTGACGGGCGAACGGGGGACACGTTGTTCCGTGAAGGAAGGGCGAGCGGGGCGGGGCAGATTATATATCGATCGCTCGGTTGGCAGCCACCGGGGCGCGCGGCAGTCTGTTCGGGGCACTGCGCCCCAGCCACCGCAGAAAAAAAAGACAAACGTGGCCCGTGCGCGCCGGGCGATAAGACCCCCGAAGAGAAGACGCAGCGGCCATGACGCACCGGGGACGCCAAGAAGTGGCGCCAGGCTTGGAATACAGATTGTTGGCCGATGCAGATGAGGGCGCTGGTGCTGCTCCAGGCGACGGCTACCGTTCCGCCCAGCTCAAGGCCGTGTAATCGGCCCTCCCGCGCAGCATGCTGTAGCTCGGCATCGATGCAGACATCATACAGTGGCTCTGCCGACCGCGCGGGGGCGTTGTGCGCCCCTGTCTGTCAAGCTCGATTTCGGGGCACTGGCCAAGAAAGAGGACACTGCACGGTGGACTGGATGAACCTAAGACGGAGTGCATTCCCCGCATATACGTTTCGCATCCGAGTTACAGTTGTCGCGCTCGACATACGTGCGCTTGGGAGGCGTGCCGATTCCCGAATGTATGGGTTTCCACTAGTACTTATCGCAAGCTAGTACAGCGCGCCCGCCCACGACGCACAACCCTGAGGGTGATTGCGAGAGGCCTGACTGCAGGTGCGGTTTGGGAGGCCCGAGTGCTGCCCGAGTGGGTGGATGTGGGCGATATGATGAGGCCAGGGAGACGCCCGCGGGTCATCCGCAGAATTTGACATGCTGAACCGCGTTAACCAATGTAGAGCGAATGCCTAATAGAGAGCCCCTGACCCCGCGTTTGGCCTAGCCTAGTCTAGCCTCTGGGCAATGACAATCCTGTGCGATCGGTACTGTTGATCGGGCGAATGAGGCCGTACTATGGACGGCGATGTAATGGTGAGAGCGACTCACCACCGCCGAGGAGGACACGATCATGTCGGGCCCCTGCATACCCCGTTGACTTGTAGCAGGTTTGGAGACACGGATAAGTCCATTGGTGCTACAAGGTAGGCATTACGGTGTACGAGAAAACGTCCGTCATAGTATCCGAGTCGTCGGGTACTATAAACTCTGGTAGTACACGGAGCATGGCTGTCATCGAGGGCCGGTTTGGTCGCGTTATCGAGGCATAAGCAGAACGTGGTGGCTACACTGGTTCGAGAGTTCGTGAAAGGGTCCGGTCATGAAAAGCACCCGCTACGCGCAGACAACTCTTCGCGATCGTAAAGAGGATAGTCCAGGGGGTTGACGTTATTCGGAAGGGGAGATAGTAGCCCGCCTGTCTAGGACCTGTCGCAGAAATGAGTACCACAGCTTCCCGATAAACGACACGGGGCTTTTACCAGACTCCAAGCAGGTCAGGATTGGCTGCGCGCGGTGCTTCCGTGCGGATGGCTGGAGCCACATACTTTCTGTCATTTGCCACGGACATCAACTGAATGTCATTTGTGCCACGATCGGGTATTAAGCTCACCTAGACGGTGACGGAGAAGGTCGCGGAGATGGCGAAGGCGAAGCTCTAGCGTACAGACGTCGGATGGCGCCGCCGGGCTGCCCGCGCTTCATCTGGAACTGCCTCAACGCCTTCTTCTGCCGCACACCCTCCACAGGGATCGGCCGGGCCGCGGCCATCAGGAGTGCGCCCACCAGGACGACCAGGACGAGGAGGAACGACGGGCCCTTCATAGCGGTCGCTGCACAGTGCGCGATGCGTGGACGTGAACGGGGCGTCGTATAGCGGGCTCGGAGAGGGGACCGGGTCTACCGCACACGCGGGGCAGGTTTTATAGCGACCCATCGGCGGGCCCGTAGATGTTCATGTGCCATCTATAATGGGAAGCGCGGAGCCATGCTCAGCATGTGGGACTCGGACGTCAGCCAGAGCAGGCTAGCCAGCGTAGCGTACCGCCCAGCTCGCACTTGCGCTCCCGCGCGTCCGCTGTGAACACACGCGGAGACCGAACCCTACTGTACGCAGCTCAGCGCGCCCCGCCCGCACGGTCCCCTGTCAACGTAGTCCCTCCGACGCCGGTGCGCTGGGCAGGGCTAACGCTGCCCTTTGGCCGCAAGCGGGGAATTCTGGCCGGAGCATGGGACCCCGGTGGGGTAGGTTGTTAGCCATCCCGTCATAGGAGGCGCTGTTACGCACATCGACGGTGACGATGAGCTGAATCAGACTTGATCATCTGTAGCCTAGCTCCGCGTGTCCTCCAGCATATGGCCGCCGTGCCGGCCAGCCGAGAGCAGAGAGCCCATCGACAGCGAGACAGCGTTTGCTGGATGCTGCTGAACTTTGTTCAGTGATGTTGACCCTGACAGGCCTGAGAAAGACGATGGATGACTTGAGCTTGATGAACGGCCCTCTCGAGACTCGAGACTCGAGCCGGATCGGAGACTCCAGGCGCGCGCAGTAGCAGAATTACCAACTGCGAACCCATTGAATCAGCGACCAGAACAGTGAGCGAAACGTACGACCACAATTTGACGTCCTAGCTTAACTCTAATGCTGCCTAGTCAGTCCCGTAGCTACAAAGAAGGCCGAAGATGAGTGAAGTAGGTGACAAGTGGCACAAGCGCCTGAGCGCATACGCCACAAATCAGCCATATTGAGTAACTTGAGTTCTGTAGCGGCCCGGTTCGGGGACAGCCACGTATGAGTGACGGTTTCGTGGAAAAATACTTACGGGCAAGTCTTACTTTCGCGTGACTTAGACTTAGTGGAATAGGCGCCCGGCCGACGTGCCCGAGGCGAGACCGAGGCGGCCTTGCCAAATCGGGATGAACTTCGCACTTGCCGAGGCCACTGCTCCAGACGGTTTCCCCGTTATTCTCTGTGACGCACAGTGTTCCTTCATTCATTTCATACACTTCTGTCATATGAGTTACAATATTTTTGTCTTTCGAATTCATGAGAACCACGGGGACTAGTAGTATTGGCTCTCCCCGGAGTCTGAATTTTCTACTGAAGCATCTCAGGCCATACATCTCGTCGATAATGATTTTTGAGAGGAGTTTCACGATCCGCTTCTGTAGAATCATAAGCAGGCTTCCGCATTCGTGCTATCCATGCCGTGCAATGAACAGCACCGGGCGAAGACAGAGTTGCCATAAATGGCTAATGATTCCGCATTGGGCAATTGACCAGCCACCGAAGCGAAATCAGGTGTTCTAGGATGGTGCATACCACCGATCTTTGCCTCGCCGCAATCAATATACAGTGCTGACATGGCCAGAGTTATCGGAGATCGTAGAGACCAAGTGTACGAAACGAAGCGAAACTATGTCTAAGGTGTGCGGATCACGTGTCAACTAAGTAGTAAGTCTTACACGATAACTAAGTCCTGAATGTAAGTATTTTTCCGTGATAACGACCGTCATAGCCACGGTTTCCTGATTTGACCAATTTCCTTATTTGTTGCATCCTATACTTTGTTAGTAGACGAGCACGTTATCTTTGCTAATAACTCCCGTGACCCGAAAACATCGTCTCTTTTATGTACTTATATAAGGCCGACTCGATGTACAGCTACCTTAGAGACCCAATCATAGTCTTATACCTGTCAAAAAGTATAGCGTTCGCACTTTCCTAAAGAGGCAAGTGGTGACGATACACTTTTTGACAGGTTATAAGACTGCGATATCTGGGCCTCCGAAGATACGCTAGGGTAGCTGTACATCTAACGCATGCATGTATATATTTTAGCTATGCTATCGCATGTTGAGCTCAGTTTGCATTCAGACATTGCATGATCATACGCGAGTGGCGCCGGCGCGGGCGCCGGTCGTGTACCTTGCGACTATGTAAGGAATGTCTTCCTGTGCTCGCTGTATTCCAAGGCGCTCATGACGAGTACCGGTACCTACTACAGGTAACAGGAGGACGAACGGTTGGAGAGGAGGAGGCGAGACAAAAAATGCATGGGCAAATGTTCGTGGTGTACAACACATAGAGTAGAGTAGTAGCTATGACAAATTATGTATGGAGAACATCAGGTGCGCGAGAAGTGAGAGTAGTCAATTATCAAAAGGTGGAGGGATGCATCGAGAGGGAGAAGAGGGAATACGGCAGCCTGCACCGGAGCATACACTCAAGTTCGTGTCTTGTGTACATCGCCGGATTGATGGAGGATGGCAGCGAAAGTGACATGAAAGACGGACTGAGATCCTCGGATACGCATACACTAACGAGCTCACCTTCTATTCCATTGCCAAGCACAACCTACATGCCCTCCGCTCGAACCATGAGTGCAGGTCCATTCGCCGTCACTGTCAGGATGAAGAGAGAGCTGCTAGGTGAGGTGTCATTGCACTGAAGATACTGAATATCTGTAGAATAGCGAGGCACATGTCAGCACTCGAAAATCGGGTTCCCAGAGTATTGATTCGGTGTACCATCAACTCTTCAAACAGCAGGGACTCGGACGTGCACATGCACCGTGCCCTCCTCCACAAACGCGCCCTTCACCGCCTTCAGCATATCCGCCACCTTCACCCCCTGCTCAATAGTCACCAACAGCCCGTGCTCCTTCACCTGTCCATCCTCCATCTCGTGGTATGGCCCCGATAGGCCTTCAGGCATCAGCAAAACCGGCACTTCCTGAACATCTGACGGGCTGATAGGGTAGCCTCAGACAACCTCAGAACGCCAGATATCTCAGGTTACTCAGGTTACTTCAGATGCACAGTGAGTATCAGACAGAAGCAAAAATCAACCTTTCATTTCAACTTATTGAGTAGTACTAGTCGCACATTCAACAGTTGTTTTTAACATCTTCTATTAGAAGCAATGCTGTACATTCTACCAGTACACGAATATGAGAGTACGAGTCAGTGAGTAAGCGGAGCCTCAGCTACCTCGCAAGCATCCTTGCCCGTACCCCTGTGCTGTTCCATATTGTCTGCGCACCGTTCTCGAGTGCTCGTTCGCGGCATGAGCAGCAACCAGTGGGGGTTCATGTCACGCTCTGAATGCGCCGTCAACTGCACAAGCGAGCGAACACATGGACAGGCTAGTGAGCGAGTAGGAGAGAGGTAGGGTAAGCAAGCAGGAAGGCGAGGCGGGCAGGAAGGCAGGAAGATGAGCAGGTTGTCGCTGCGGGGGTGCATGCGACGCTCGAGGCGGCAGACCTGTTTGCAGGTGCGGGGCTTGGGCGGGAGATTGCGCTCGTTGTGGGGTTCTGGAGCGAGCTCAGGAACCTGCAGAAGAATGGCGAGGGCACGGGCAAGGGCACGTTGGGCAGCTGGCGCGCGACGGGGACAGGCGTAGCGTGCGCGTGAGGGCGCATACGGAGACGGACGGGACTGACGATGGCCGCGCGCGGTGGCATGTCCTGACGAGCAATAATCGAAGGGCAGGGCGGCGGGCGGCGGGATGGTGGAGCGACTCGGAGGGACGGTGGCAGGGCGAAGACGGAAGGCGAGGGCGAGCGGGCAGGGTGGCGCAAGGCAGCGGGGATGGCAGGATTCAGCGGCGCGAGGTGGCGAGGTGGCGGGGACGACAGGAGGATGACATGGTTTGCGGGGCGACGTGTGGCGGGCGCGCTAGGGGACGTAGGGGACGCGAGGTGACGGCATCCAACACGCACGAAAACACGTTGACTCACCGTGGCTCTCAGCCGCAGACTATACTAGACCCCCAGGCGAATCTTGGTGATAGACGGGCGACGTAGGTGTCGGGCAGCTGCCAGTGCGGGTGGCGGGTGGCGGGTGACGGGAACCGTTTCGGGCAGTGGGCGTCTCGCGGCACAGGCAGGGCTACGGCGAGGGCGAGGGCGAGCGGGGCACGGTAACATCGGCGAGGGCGCGAGGTGACGGGGGCGAAGGGCAGGGCTGCGGGCGCGGTAGGCGACGCGAGCACGGCGGTGGGACCGTTTCGGGCAGTGGGCGTCTCGCGGCACGCGCGGGGACGAGGGACACGGTAGCAGCGGCGAAGACAGAAGGCCGAGGGCGAGCAAGGCAGGGGGTGGGGTGGAAGACGACGGGCAGCGCGGCGTGGCGAGTGTGGTGATGTGCGGGCCATTTGAGAGCGGTTGGCGTTTCGGGTGGTGGGGGGTATTCGGACGGACGGCACATTTTGGGAGCACCGGAGGAGTGGGCGAGCGAGCTGGTCGAGCCTAGGCGGAACGAGAGAGCGCAATAAGGTGGGCGGGCAAGCGGACAGGCGCGTGAGGGACCAAGAGTGTAGGGGTGAGCAAGCAAGAACGGGGAAGAGCGAGAGGGCGGGCCAGCCAGCAAAAATGCGAGAGCGGCTGGGCGGCGAGCTAGGGCAGCAAGAACACAGGTAGACAAAGTAGGCTAGCAAGAGGGCGAGGCCTAGCTAAGGGACCGGGTGGGCAGACGAACAGGCGGGCGGGTCGAGCGGGTGCACGCATGCGCAAGTAGGCGGCATCGCACTCACCTGTACTATCCCTTCGATGGCCCTCCTCCCCCGGCTCCCTGTTGCCCTCGCTCTCCGTCGCAATTTGCGGGTGCTTGGATGCTACCGCGCAGCCTTGAAGCTTGAAGTTGAGTCGACGTCGTGGAAGAGGCAAGTTGCAACTCGCGACAAGTGCTAAGCGCCTCAGCCACGACACGTCACGCGCGCTCGCCGGACTTGGAGTCTCACAGTCCCGGTGTCCTTCACTTGGTCTTCACTGTCAGTCCCCTCCTCTAGTCTCTCCACATCCCCAGTGCGCGTGGACCCACCTGCGGGCTTCACCCTGCTCCAGCTTTCTTCCATACGACCATGTCTGTTTTCCCGGAACGAAGGAGGGCCTCACGCACAATGACACGTCGACGTAGACGCGAGGTCCGCAACAAGCTCTCGGTTCCGCGATGGGAGCCTCGACGCTGACGACAGGCTGCTCACAGAGTTTGGCTATGTACCCCCCTTCAAGCACGAGCTCTCCAACCTGGCGACGGTGCGCACATGATCTACGCTCGCGAGCGATCCTCCTAATCTGCATCTGCGCGCATAGATCACTGGCAGTTTTGCGTTCAGTATCATGGAACTCTGCGTCAGTGCTATGACGACGTCCAATACGCATCTCCTTACCGGTGGCTTCGCGGCAAGCAGGCCCGTTCGCAAGAGACGTGGCACGAATCGACCTGCCGCGCGCTGTCAGCTTGCGCCGCGCCGGCCCCGAGTCTCGACGAGTTCCAGCGATGTGCAAAGAACATCGCTGGAGACTCGTGATGAAACAACGTGCCAGGCGGGAAGGAGGTTGTGGCCAGCGGGATCAGCAGCCTAGGTGAGTGCACCGGCACTTGTCACCTCGACCCGCAGACGACGCCTATAAACAAAGGCTCGCCCAGACCGGGCCCGGGGGCCCGACGAAGACTGTTACCGCGAGTGCGCGCGCGACAAGCGTAAGCGCAGCAGCCCTCGCTGCGCAGCGCGCTTCACAACTCTAGTCCGAGCCCGGTACGTATGCACTGATTGAGCCTCAAGTTTCAACACGTCGCGCACGGACCTGCCAGCAAGGGCTCGCCGCATATGGATTCGACGCCTCACATGCATTGGCACGCCGCACACATCTACAAGTCGGCGACGTGCATTACCCATCTCAACGAGCAGGACCGCGACAAGCAACCATCCACCACTGGCAGGCACCCAGCGCGACGTGCAAGGGCCCGCCGAGCAACAGGCCGGCATGCCCCAGTCCGACGCGCATAGGCCCATCGAGAACGGACAGGCCACGGCATCCCCTCACTGGCTTGCCTGCCAGCTTTCTCGCTCGCGGACACGGTCACCCGCTCTCACTCGCTCGCTAGCTCGCCCATCCGCTCCCGCATTTTCACGCGCCCGCCACTCGACTCGCCTGTTGTCCAGGCTTGTCCTGCTCGCCCACTGTCATCCCTCTTACTTGTTGTCCCTCTCAATGAACGTGACGCGTTACACACTGACCCTCTCGCGCGTCATATCCATTACACCCGGATGACAGCCGTGGATGACCCCCGCCCTCGCCTTTCTCCTCTCTCTCGTCCGCCTCCCTCTCCCCGAGGCCTGCATGAGCCTGTGCAAGTCCGAAGCCACACGCAGGAATCCGCGCTACACCATCCTCGAGGATGGGCTCTTCCGCCTCACGCTCACCGGCAACCACCAATGCGCGAGCTCACACGGGAACGATCTCACCCGCGCGAGTCTGGATCCGAGACGATCCGATGCCCTCTCGCCGCGCAGCACGCCTGACTACTCTGCGTCGACCTTTGCGGGACGTCTCGGGCCACACCGCCGCACATCAGTATGACAAATGGGAGCCCACTGCACGCGAGCACAACGAGGGATGCGCCCAACAACCCCAAGAAGGCCTACGAGTGCCAGTGTGAGGGTGAGCTCGCGGAGGACTGCCGTCACGACGCGCTAAAGGCTCATGGACAGTAGCTAGTGCGATTGTACTGTGGTGTATATACTGCTAGCATGGATAATGATTGATCGCGACATTGGAGCATTCCGTCATACAGAGTACAATAAAAATATTGGGTGGTAAATGTATGAATTCTGGTGTCTCTGAGAGTCTGACAGAGAGTCTGACTGCTCTGAGGATGTCTGATGATTCTGTCTGACGAAGAAATCTCAAAAAAGATCGAGGTCATGAGGGCTGACTGTATGAGCTGATCTGAAGCAATCTGAAGCAATCTGAATGCTTCTGAAGCCCCTGATGGCGCCGTCAGACAGATTGCATGATTTCCTGATGGGGTACACCCAGAACACGAGGCTCTTGAGCGTGCGGTCCTCCGTGTCCAGCCACCTCTCGACGCCGCAGATGTGCTCCTCGACGCCGCGGAAGTTCGAGCCGGGCCCGCTGGCAACCGTGGTGAGCGTGCCTGTGGCGAGGATGGCGGCGAGAAGCCGCGTGCATGAGGTCCCAGTTGAGCGCGCCGTGTCGTAGGGCCATGGTCGTGTCTCTTGCTCTACTGGGATAGGGGCCTGCGGCGGTGTTGCAGTGGTTGCGGACATCTGTTCGCGTAGCGTTCAGCGTTCGTTGTGCATGAAAATAGTGTATTATGTTGCTAATATTAGGCCATCGCGAGAGTCGCACTCATGTAAGGTTACTCACTGCTCACGCAGACCTTATTCCTCTGGTACTAGACCAATGGCTCCCGCGATGGTCTACGCGATGGTCTACGTCTTCATAGGGCAGTAAAGAGCTCATGTACACCTTTTTTCGTCGACAGTTCGGTATGGGGAGCCTCAGCCTGAGGGCAGTAGCATGGCTAAGCGCTGTCTGTCCGGGTTTGGAGGTGGAACAAACAAGGCCAAAAAAACCGGAAATTTCCCACGACGAATTCAGACCCCCGAAGAGACCTTGCTAGTCGCAAGGTAACATCATACCTAACTTACAGCCTAATACATCGGAGTCATGACTCAGGTACTCAGTACTCAACGTCAACGTTCAACGTACTAATAGGCAACAAGGCGAACGATCAGCAAGCCAGTACTTATTGATTGCTCGAAAGTGGAAGATACAGACGTTGTAGGGACCAGAAGGATTCACACATAAAATAACGCACTGGTTTCCCACTGGGTGTCCAGCAGTTTAGAAGTACGCATGTGCTCGCGAACGCTTCAGTCTTCCATTTCCTTGGTTTGACTGATCGACCAGGCAAAGTCGATGGAGTTCCACTCGTGCACGCACTGGTGTCTAAGGCATTCTCGCGTGTCTGCCGAGGCGGTACGGTGTTGGCAGGGCGAAGGTCACGCCGGACAATATACCTGGCGGACAAATCATCGAGGATCTGCAGGACATCTCGTCTAAGTACCGAAAGCGGTTTTGAGCTAGACAGATGGGGAGGGCTATGATGCGTACTGGGTAGGCACATCCCAATAATCCTCACTCAAGCTATATTTCAGTCCACCGCAAGCTAACACGAGAACCTACGAGAACCGATGGGAGTGGTGCGACGGTGTTGAAGGGCCAATCTACCCTGCGTTCTCATTCTCATCGTAGACGACATTGTCAAAAAGGCGATTGTTGCAGGTTGGATCACCGGACTTCCGGTTTGCCGGGTGTGCACCGATGTAAGAGTCATCGTTCAACCAGCTGCAGAGACGAAGAGCAAGCTGTTCGGAAGCCAATTCAGCGAGCGTCGAAGAACCCGTAGTAGTGCTGCGTGATGCCGCTCACGCACCGAGCTTTTGTAGATGCAGGCGTCCGGGTCAAGCGAGCAACACCAGTTCGGTTGGGCTACCTTGACGCAGAGCTCCAACTTGGCAGGAGTCTTCAGGCCCAGGGACACTATCTTCTCCATGCGCAGTGCATAGCACGACATTCGCTGCGTAAGCACCAGCAGACCTGCCGCCAATGACCGACGCGTCCCCCTGGCACGGTTCTTCAGCACTTGTGCATTACCGAGGCTGTCGGTTTCGTAGCCTGTCACGGCCATGGTCAGGCTGGCGTACCGGAAAAGGTTTCATGTCTGGACAGAGTCATCAGTCATCAAGTCCGCGATGCACAGTTCAAATTTGAGAACATGTATAGCTGTTCGTTCTGCAAGTCCACTCCGTCAATCCCGTGTTCAACGTACTGTGGGATCGTAGCTCACCATTGCCGTGAAGAAACCAACGCTGTCAACTATTGCGCAAGATAACAGTCGACACGCGGCTTAGCCAACGCACCAGCCTACTCTCGCAGTAACAATGTTCAATGGAGAAATCAGAGTTGTCTCATCAACCATGCACGGAGAATTGAATAAGAGCGCCTCCTCCTGCCAGTGGCGGACCCGCCTTTTATGGTAGCGCCGCTACGGGAAGACGGCGTCTGTAAATAGGCGCTCTTTTCATTGAACCGCTACCACCATGTCTCGGCCGCAGGACGACAGGAATCAAGAAGCAACCGTATACCTTGTGCGCATGTTATACTCGTGTTTCTCGATACAGCGCTGACTACAGGGCCACGCGTAGGGGAACCTGGATGAGCGGTGTTCAGACGCGCTTGTCTGGGAACTCATGTTGCAAGCGGGTCCAGTCGGTAAGCACTCGTCCGTGTCCCTATATGCGCCTCGTTTAGTCTGACATGCGTCACGCTCTCAGTGAACGTGCACCTTCCGAAGGACCGGATATCTATGACGCATCAGGGATACGGTTTCTGTGAGTTCTTGACCGAGGAGGATGCGGAATACGCTTGTAAGATTATGAATCAAATCAAGCTGTGGGGAAAGCCAATACGGGTTAACAAGGTGTGTCATCGTATCGTTTGTCAAAGTATGCTCGGAATGGGCGCGATGCTGGGGGCGATGACTGGTGCCGTCTGACGTTTTCAGTGAGGCGGTTTGGACATCACATGCAGTGTGGATGCCGACAATGTCTGCCATGCGCTGCTGTGCTCGAACTTGTTGGTGGAGCGGCTGCATCGTCCTGTCGCCTTGCACAATCTTCAGAACTGTGCTCATGGAGCGTGGTGAATTGTTGAATGCGTTGGGCGACACGGTCGCTATGTGCTGAGCATGTCTCAGTGATGCTATATTGCTTATTAGGCCTCAGCACCATCCTATCCGAAGTCAAACACTTCATGCCGTTCATCGTGTTCAGAACACCCGTCATGTGGGAAGCGCACGTTCTGCCTCATTATCGCCTCGCGCCCTCATTCCGTGCTATACCTCCTCGAATGAAGAAGGTTCGTTCTCACCTGACGCTCTGCTATTCCCACTCAGGCGTCCTCGGACAAGAAGCAGCTTGACGTAGGCGCAAACCTCTTCATCGGAAACCTGGACGAGAATGTCGACGAGCGGTTACTCTACGACACGTTCAGCGCTTTCGGCGTAATGGCTACAACAGCAAAGGTACGCCCGTCTCACGTGCCACTCCTTCGGGTCCTCCAATTCCCTCATGTTTCATCTCCCTTCCCACACAGATTGCGCGCGATCCGAGCAGCGGAAAGTCGAAAGGCTACGGTTTCGTCTCCTTCACCGACTTTGAGTCATCCGACGCGGCAGTCGAGTCTATGAACGGACAATTCCTCATGAACAAAGCCATCACAGTCCAATATGCCTTCAAAAAAGATGGCAAAGGCGAGCGCCACGGTACGCCCGCCGAGCGACTCCTCGCTGCGCAAGCACGCAAGAACAACGCCCTCCCCGTCGCCGCGCGTCCACCGCCTGCTCCTATGACTGCTATGGGCGCATTTGGCGCCCATCCTCCTATGCCTGGCTATCCGCAGGGTCCGTACCAAGGCCAGTTCGCTGGCGCACTCGCCGCGGCACCTGCCCCACCCCCGCCACCTGGGTTCGCTCCTCAGCAGACGATGGTACCTGGCGGAATGTCGATGGGCATGCCCCCGCCGCAGGGTATGCCGATGGGTATGGGCATGCCGGGTATGCCACCACCGCCTCCGCCAGGGTTCGTGCCTCAAGGGATGCCACCACCTCCGCCAGGGTTCATGCCACAAGGTATGGCGCCTATGATGCCTCCACCACCACCGGGCATGCCGCAACAACAGTCGTATATGGGTTAGGAGGTTGGTTCAGATCGTCGGTCTGTGGCGAAGTGCTCGGGTGCTGTGTAATCTGCAGCGTCGTTGCAGATGTCAAAAGGCCTGTAATTCCTTTGTCAATTTGATGTTCCGGACTGTATTGAGTCCATTGAACGGCTAAAAATGTATCAGTGACGATAGTCCTGCATAGATTGCCCTTGTGCGGTATCGATTCAGGGTCCCGGCTGGTAGGATGCTGTCGAGTGGTAAGGCAGGTCTGTCTGTCGTCCGTCTGCCGCTGATGCATCTAGAAGTTGTGCCACATCCTAGTGCATTCGATGATAGCCCATTATCCGAAGCCTTGCCGGATCTCGTATGTCTGCGGCCGCTGGCATGCAACCCTACCCTATCGTAAGTGTATCATCAAACTATGCTTCGGTGGTAGGGCGTCGGCGGCATACTCTCTACCCGGCCGAGAGGATTCTTGCAACTTCACCATTTGCCCGACCACTGATGTAATAGTGTGGTACGTCGCTTTCGTATTCACAAGGCTAGTACTTTGGTCCGCGTTCGTCTCCTACGATGTTACATTTGACGTGCCTGAGTATGTCAACGATCATGGTGCCCTCCTGATGCACTCTCAGGCACTCTCTACCCTGTACGAGGTTCCGAGCAGCTACAGACTACTAGTACAGCATGCACGACTCGGAACTACATGAACTTGAACTATACGGCCGATACGTGATTCGTCTGTATCAAGCTGGGCCTAGTCCGACGTCGAGACCCAGAAACAGTGCATATGTTACATTCGTGCTAAGCACATACTACAGTAACCGACGTAAGTATACAGTACATGTTGCGTTCGTTTCGGATTCCGACAAGCGAGAAGGCGCGCTTTCAAGGTGCGCCTGCATCTTCTCACCTACTCTTTACCTACTCTCACCCAAAGCTATGAACTCTATGTCTCTCTACGTGCGTGTTTGATAGACTCGCCTATGCCGTGGTCCTGGGCTCAACTGCAGGGCCTGAACTAGTGTCTGCGCGCGCCCGTGTCAATCTGGTTTGCTTGCGTGTCCGAGTCGTTGGCTCTATTGGCTGGCTCGTTCTAGGATGACTGAGGTTATCGCCGATGATAATGTGTGGATGAAAGTAGTAAAGTCAGATGCTGCAATGATACGTCCGGCCAGTAGCTGACGCAATTGTTCCGCAGAACAAGTCATTGAGCACGTTCTCGTCCTTGACCGTTACAGGGCCACACGTCCCGTGCGCCATCACGCTCCCCAGGCGTTAGGCGTTCCCAGCTCGTCAATTCGACTTCAATCGCAGCAAGTTTCGAAATAGACTGGACTGGCCCGCTGAAGACATTCCGGACAATTGTGGCCACCTTTCCATCGAACTCGGGGAACGTGTTGGCGGAGGCAGATCTGCTGTAGTCTACGCAGCGAAGGGTCGCAGCCACGCCTGGGGAACAGGGTGCCCCATGGTCAAAAGATCCGTATACTCTTGATCTCTGTGTGAAGGTGGCGCGACCGAACCACTGTCGCACACTTGCTCGGGAGGCTTGGATGTACGATCACCTCACTGAGGGAAGACTGCAAGGCGTGATCGCTCCGCGTTGCTACGTGTCTCTCACCATCGACCTAGCTTCCGAACACTTGCCCTTTCCTCTCTGGTCGAACGATGACTACGACCTCGACGCGTTGCTTAGGCGCAGAGCGTCTGATGACCCCATTCGCGACGACACATTGTTCGATGATGATACGGACGAATGTGCTAACGATGCTCCAGGAACCAGGGAGCTCTCGCCATGGATCGACTGGCGTCCCGACCCAGACGAGCCACTCCTATCTGTTCTCCTGATGGCCCATGGAGGGCAAAAGTATAACATGAACGAGGATGATTGGGACACAGACAATCGGTACGTGTCGTGATGTCCCAAATCCAAATCACCCTTACACGGATCTCGTACAGGAAAGATGTCCTGAGGGTTCTCGACGACTTGACCTCTGGGTTCATTATCCATAATGATCTCCGGCCGGCCAACATCATACGTGCGCTGGCAGACACGAAGATGTGCCGAGTGCATAAGTGGAACCTGGCTGACTTTGCTTGGTCGATCGCTGATGACCCTCGGAATGAAAACACAAATTATGAGTATCTAGACGACATACAGAGAGGCGCATCCCGTGGGCTGGAGCCCACTGGTTGACGCTCGGTTTAGGCTGGGGTATAATGCAACTGCACTCCATCATGTATTGCTTCTCAGTCGACTACAAGCTGGCCCGGACCCGGTAGGTTCTGTTGAACTCATCCGACTTGAAGCTGAGTTGCATTCTCGATTAGGTACTTACGAGGGTATCCCCGTACAGATACAGACGTCGGGAACCTGAAGAGGCTCCTCTATCCGGGATGCATTGAGTAGTTGTGCTTATATGTCCTGGACAGTTCTTTACCTCCTTCAGATCTACGTTATTGTTTGTGTGGGTGACAGTGTTCACGAAACCATACAGCATGACGTATTTTCATATAGTCCAGCCACGGTCAAAACCGTGCAAATTACGCGAGACGATGATCACCAAAGGCTCACATTTTATCATCTTCCCGACTTGGGCGAGCTTCAGTGTTGCGAACGCTCATAGGAGGTATTATCGCGTTTCGCTATCACGAGAGACCTGTTCAAGACCGGGCCGCGATTAACTGACTTCGGTTGATTTAGGATGCTGAGGGGCGAGGAGGAATAATACTCAGTCTAGTGAGCTTCCAAGTTTCCCTTCCGGTGACTGGGTCATTCGACGTTAACCTCGACAGCCTCTTCGTCCACGCTTCTTTGCCACAGATTCGCTGCTCAGCTCAGTGTTTATTTATCTGTACTATTCTTTGAGTCGTAAAAGTCGGAGGAAGCCCAGCTTTGAATATCCGCGGATGCATTCACGTCGAGGAGCTCAACCTGATGGGCGCTTGACTCTGAGCGATTGAGTAGTCCAGCGTCCATCTAATCTTATCTGCAACTTATCTGATACTCAGAAGCAAGCCCTGGACTCGGACCTCAGTTTAACCGCTATGGTAGCCAGTGCGCTGCCGTAGCATCGCACATCCCAAGTTCCTGACCCACTCCATATAAGCTAGATGAATAACAAGAGAGCGACCAAGAAGCTGGTAAATTCCGAAGCTACCTCATGCTTGATCTGTGGCTGACGGACTGAGGTCGACCTGCAGAACGAGTCCGATTCGTTGTCCATGTTCTCGACTTTAACCCTCACAGGGACACACATCCCGGACGCCGTAGCCCTCTCTAGAGAGGAGGCTTTCCCAGCCCCTCAGTCCGACTTCTACTCCAACAAGATTCTGAACAGACCAGATTGGTGTGCTGCAGAGGTGCCGAAGAACGGGGGTCATCTCTTCAGCTCAGGGAAGTTGAAGGAACGCATTGGCGGTGGCAGAGGTGCGGTTGTCTATGCAGCCGAGGTTGTTACCGCCGGGCCCGAGAAAACCCGCGGTTCCAGTGCGAAACTGCTCAAACAGGAGCTCTGTGTCAAGATCGCACGACCGAACCGTTGTCGTACACTGGCACGAGAGGCATGGATCTACGAACGGCTCCCCGAGGGTACATTCCAGGGCGTGATCACTCCGCGATGCTACGGCTGCTTCACCGCGGGCCTGCCTCACTAAATGCTGTCCCTCGCCCCCTTTGCGTGTCAAGATGATATCCTCGACGCGTCTTCTGAACGCCGGAGATCCGACGATACTAGTCGCGACGACCCCTTGCGTGACGACATGCGTGGATGCGACGACTCTCCTCCCGGCGGAAGGGAGCTCTCCTCGTGGTGCGATTGGCGTCCCGACCCTGAAGCGCCGCTCCTGGCCGTACTCGTGATGGCACTCGGAGGGCGGAAATACACCCTCGATGAAGATGACTTTGACCCGAGAACCGAGTGCGCATCGCGTTTTCATGAATTTATCCTGCTTGGCTGACCCGAACCTCTCAGGGCGGAAGTAAACCAGATTCTCGATGACTTGTCTTCTGCGTACATCATGCACCAAGATCTTCGACCAGCCAATCTCATACGCGCTCCGGCGGCCACGCAGAAATGTCCGACGCACACGCGCGTGCATAAGTGGAATATCATCGACTTTGGCTGGTCGAGCGTCGACGAGCATGACGGGAACGATGTCAAGGGAGACGTTATCAAGAAGCTGCATAGATTCAACTACGACAATCCGTACTTTCGCCTTGGTAGCGACGATCTCTGCTAACTACATCGCAAGCTGCAGACCGCTACCTACTGGCATTCCTTTCTCCCCCATCACCGTTCACAGACATCTTTCCCGCTCTGTGCTACACTCTCTCCGCGAAGCTGTCCACCCCCACAGTACACCAGCACGGCATTCCCACCAGAGGTGCCACAAATCCCGCCGGACGTCCCGAGCGGCGCGCGTCTTAAGCTCAGAGGTACGCAGCAGACATTCCCGGAGGTGAACGTTCATCGCGTATGGGACGCTGGGACCGATGCTTGCGGAGCAGTGCGCGGGCGTATCACCAGGAGGTCTGCTTCAGACGACCATTCTACTCCACGTCAAAGATGTCGCATTACTTAACTTGGTCGGCCTATGGGAGATCAATGAGGTCTGGCGATGTCCCAGGGAGTCAAGTTCTTCCGTGCCGACCGGAGCTGAGACAGTGTATCCTATATTTCTAAGTTATATCTTAAGGGCAACGCGGTGTATCCACTGCGTCGACATCCCACTACATATTACCGTCCGTGCACGTGACCGCGCAATGGGGACGCGACTCGGAGGGACCTCCCCAACCGCAACGATCAACCTTAGTCCCATCCCTCGAGACACGTCTCGCCCGATCACACGCAACACAGCAATGCCTTGGGTGTTTGGCTGGCCTCTCGACTCAATATAGGCCATTCGGATAGGAAAGGAATGCAATCTCGTCCGTTACCCGAACCCGCGTGAAGGCGACTACTTCGTCGCTGCAGCCAGACAGATCGCGGCCGATGCACGATGGAAGCATGTACGAAGCTGCTGGGTGAAAGGAGAGAGCCAACTCGTGTACGGTGCCTACGTCGACGAGAGGTTTAGGAAGCATCCCCCGAAACGCGTACTGAAGTCAAGGATGGTTCCGGTCGAGCGATGGTTCAAGCTCGCAGAATGCATGCCGATTGAGGACAAGCCCGAGTGGTACCGCGCCGAGGATTGCACTTACACGCCGTGGGAAGGAGAGCGGTGGTCTGGCACGTACGAGGGCGAGGATGACGACCTCGTCGACTACGTCTCTGTGGACGAAGACGAAGACGAGCACGACTACGAATCTGAAGAAAATGGTGAGGCCCAGGACGAGGACGAACAGGATATCGACCCTTGCGCCGGCGAAAGTGTCGTGTTGCCGAAGAGGGACTCGGAGCATGTTGTCGACGAACGTCGCGCACATATAGTCGGGTCATCACGAGAGCTAACTTATGACGAGGCTAATGTTCCGTCCATCTCCGGCCGCCCTGTCTCCGAACAAGGTGGCGGCATTGCCAATACACTGGCATCTCAGTTTGGTATGTTCGCCCTGTTTCTATTCGACTACCGGAATTGATTGTGGGTACAATCACAGAGGCACAGTGCATTATCTCTGACCTGCAATTGGCGTGAAGCCCCAACCAAATGGCTCCTGTCCCCGTCGCGCCCGTGAGTTAAAATGTTTCTACACTGTTGCTACTTACTGACCGTCCCTGTCCAGCCGCTTTAACCATGCATCGCTATCAAGAAGTTGCAATTGTACATTGCCTGCACAAGTACTTAATCTGTACATTACTATCCAAAGTATCAATCTCAACATTGCGCACATACATACATGATTGTGTGCGAGCTTCGCGTCTGGGGCGTGTGGCTTGTGAAATTCTCAAGAGCGCCAACACACGTCTAGGTTGTATTAGCATCGTCCCTTGTGCATGAGCGACTTGATACCTCAGTACAGCTGAAGCGCGTGCTTCCTTCATGCTCACGGGTATATGCAAGTCTGTAAAATCTGTTCGTGCCAACGTCGACGATCTTGAACTGCAGAGTCCTACTGGAGCAATTCATGTTGAGCGACATGACGTACAGAGCCATGTGCGAAAGGACAATATACTTGTGGACCTGGATGTCTTGACCCTCTGCGCTGGCGAGAAGCGCAACCGTTAGATGTGGTATACCAGTACAGATGCCGAAGTCATCCTGAAGGGTGGACTGTATAGTCCCCTTTTACGTGCACTGTCGAGGGGTAAATTTTAGTCGAAGAGCGAAAATCAGCGACTGGCACAATATGTTCGATAGATAGAACATACCTATTGGGCTCAAACACGGAGCGCGCCCGCACACGATGCACAGGCATCACGTTCGCTCACCCCCTTGGGTGTCTGGCAGTATAGAAATACGAACTGCGATAATTCCGCTGCTGCAACTTCCGAACGAAATCTTCCGTTTTTTTCTTATGACCGATGGGTTCATCAACAACCGACCAGGCAAAGTCGATGAGGTTCCACTCGTGCACACAATCGTGTCTGTCGCACTTCCGTGTGTCTGCCGCAGCACGTACGATGTTGGCTGGTCGGAGATCACGATGGATAATAAAGCCGGTGGACAAATCGTCGAGAATCTGCACGACGTCTTGTCTACGGGAAGCCGATCAGATCCAAGAAAATGAGCAGAAGCAATACACATACCGGACAGACTGATCCCATTCATCCTCATTCACGCTGTATTTTGCCCCTCCGCGAGCCATCACGAGGACAGATACACACGGTGAGTCGGGGTCGGGGCGCCAATCGACCCACGGCGAAAGTTCCCTGCCACCTGGACCTGTGCACTCGTCCCTATCGTAAGTGACATCGTCACAGAGGCGATCGTCGCGGGTAGGATCATCATTTTCTTTGTCCCGGGGGCGTGCGTCGACGCCGGAGTCTTCATTGGACCAGAGGGGAAAAGGTAGCTGTTCGGGAGCCAATGTGGTGGTGAAGAACCCATAGCAATTGGGCGTAATGACGCCTTGAAGTGCGCGCTCGGCGAGCTGCTCATAAACCCAGGCCTCCCGAGCGAGCGAGCGACAGCGGTTCGGTCGGGCTACCTTGACACAGAGCTCCGAACCGAGATGACTTTCAGCGCAAGGAGCACCGTCATCCCGAAGGATGGCAGTGACAGCTTTCACCGCGTACACATCAGCAGACCTGCCAC